TTAATGTAAGTCTGAAAAGATCCAGCATCAGGCAAAACAACACAAGTCATTCAGCTCCAGTTTCAGGCAAAACAAAATAGAAAGTGCAGTATGTTTCACAATATTGAAAATATTGAAAGTATATATTGAAAGTTTATTGAAAATACAGCTCCTTCATTTTTTCACTGTATAACCCTATCAGAGCAGCTTTACAGTCTTGGACCAGTTATACAATACAGTAAACCTCTTTTAGTGTTAGACCTGGGACAAGAGTTGCTGAAGAGCCCAAGTTTGTGGTTTTCTATGGAATGTTGCTGGCAATTTTCAAAACTTTCTGTTTCCGATGCAAAGCTGACAATCCTTCTGTTGAGGTACATCGCACTGGAACAATGGCAACTGTTGTGCAGAAATGTAGGCAGTGCAGAATTCATTTCCAGTGGAAAAGTCAGCCATCACTCTTTGGAAAATATCCTGCAGGCAATGTAATGCTGAGTTTTGGCATCTTGACATCGGGTGTGAGAATAAGCCAGGCTTTGTTGATGTTTAGACACATGGGGCTGTCAGCCATATCTGGACGAACCTTTTTTCATCATCAGAAAAAATTCTTCTTCCCATCTGTGCTCCATCATTGGGAAAGCTATCGCTCATCACTGCTTGAAAAATTGAGAGGGGTCAAGAATGCACAATGGTCTGGAGATGGAAGGTTTGATTCTATGGGTCACAATGCTAAATATGGTGTCTACACATTGTTTTCCAATTCCATCTCCAAACTGGTCCATTTTGAACTGCTTCAGGTGAGCAATTTTTCAGAGTCATTGTTTCTGTGTCATGTGTTTGTCTAAGGTATTTTTTCAATCCTATTGTCCACAGCAACCCAAAAAGTTAAGTACTGTAAGTATAATTGTCAATTTCATGTGAAAACAGATAAATCTGCTATTGCCATTTTAAAGTGTTTTAGAGGATTTATACAGCACTCATATTTGGTAGAGATTCAATGCATCACACAGATTATATCACTGAATGAGTGAGAAAATGTATCAACCAAACACAAAAGAAGTAACCACTATATTAAAGATGGCAGTGGCATTTGTGATTTGCATGCAACTCCTAAATGAAACCTTTTAATTTTAAGGCAAATGAATCAGGGTCAAGTAACGCAATGGAACTTGATGGAGCCAAACGTTGCTTTCAGTACATAAAGAATGCTGGTTTGACAATCACAACATTCATAAGTGATCGGCACAAAGGAATCGCAAAGTGGATTCGTGAATCACAGCCTGAAACCTCCCATTTCAATGATTTGTGGCATGTCTGCAAAGGTCTCACAAAGAAAATCTTGAAAGGCAGCAAAGAAAAAGGCTTTGAAGTACTAAAATTATGGCTCAAGGGAATACGTAAGCATCTTTATTGGTGTGCCCTTTCTACCAAGCAAGGCTTTGGTGAGTTGATTGTTGCAAAGTGGAGATCCTTGATGCGTCATATTGCAAACAAACATGATGAACATCCGAGTCTGTTATACAACAAGTGTGCACATGTTGAACTTGAACCACGTGAATGGATTCCAATCGGTATGTAAATGTAAATGTTTTGTGGGTACAAGCCTTAAATTTGTTGGAGGCGAATAGTACATCATCCAGGCTTTAGTGGAATGAAACCAACCATTCCTTGTTTTTAGTAGAAATCCATTTGAAATGTTTTGGTTTTTGATATTTTGTCAGGTACACCTGCATATGACAAATTACTCAAGATTCTTTGCAACACAACCACTTTAAAAGATGCCAGAGTCATCATGTGATGCCCAGACAAGCTGCCTGGAAGGCTTTCATTCAACGTTAAATCACTGGCACCCAAAGATGGTTCACTTTTCTTGGCTTGGTACATACTGCAGGTGAGATCTCGGATGTTATAATTTCAGCACATGAGACAATTGTGTGATGTAATTTTTTATGTGGTTATGTGGCGTGTTGCACCAAGATAGTCTTGTTTGGTTAGTTCTAAAGATTGAAAATGGGAGAAGTATTTTAATATCCAAACAAGATGTCTTGACATAGCAAGCCAAACAGTCATTTAGAACAGAAAAATGTATTTTATATAGTTAAACCAGACGTAACACATAATGCATCTTATGTTTCAGACATGTTTTGGCTATTTCTCATTTTAACGAGAATCTCAATCGTGAAGCACGATCAGCATTAGATGGATCACTATGCTACTCAGTTGTTTACCCAAAATTCAAACTTGGGGAAGAAGTTGTCAGAGAAGTTGCCATACCCCCTACATACGGTAAGTAAACCAATAAAATTGTTATTTTACTACTAATTTTGACATCAAACAAAGATATTCTGTGTTACAGACTGCTTCAATGAGAAAGGCTTTGTTAGTTCTGTTGTTAGAGTCACAAAACTCACAATGTTACAATTGCTTGCAAAATATTTGAAAGACATGAAATGATTCTAGTTGATGAGGTTTAATGTTGTCTTGAAATTAAATGAATAAAGGATGATATCTTTTTTCTATCACTTCTTTGTGTTGGACTTTAACTTAAAAGTAGTCTATCCAGTTAACTTCACTGAGTGCTTTGTACCCCACAAGTTAAAAATTGTTATGAGACTAATAATGCATAAAAATATTGCCTGCCATTGTAAATTAGCCTGAAACACACTTAGCTTTATGCATCAGAATTAAAAATAAAACAGTTACTATGTAACAGTGCGCCAGAGTATCTACAGACCATGAAATTGTATAAATTTTTCCTCATATTGCAGCATATGTGGACAATATAAGAAATATTTTGTTCAGCACGCCCTTGGAGGAGCTTGGGAGTGTCCTGGACAAGTACACACGGAAAGTGCCAGAGCCTTTAACTGCTCAGTTCCCAAACAGACGTCAAAAAATGATGCCATCTCTGAATATATTTTAAAGCAGAGCACTACTACACCAATGTACCCTACAGGTAAAATATTTCTTGTGTTATTTGGACAAAAACTTCACATACTGTTGTCTGTTGATGAAATACAGTATGTAATTACACTGGGATACTGGATCATACAGCAAGGGAAAACCACTTGTTAAACAGAAAGCCTAGTTTTCCATCAAGATATATATAAATTTCTTATGAAAGGGACCATTTAGAAATCATTGGTTCAAGGTCTCATAGAAAATGGGGTATTTGCAAATTCTTATTGTTCATATTTGTAAGAATAGATTGACCAGATTCAATCTGGGATCTTTGGGTCAATACCCTTTCCCATCATAATCACTGAAATCATAATTTGTGTATATTTATATAGAATGTACATTTGCACAGCAGCAGCTAATCTTGCAATCAAAATACAGGTTTTGGTTGTGGTACACTTTTATTTTGCCTTTGTGGTTATATTGTTGGTTTAATTTTTTGCACAGAAAATGAACAAGAATCCTTGCAATTAAGCCTAATGAAACCAGCTGTATTGGCTGAAAGCACAAGAAAAAGGAAGACCAACCGCTGCTGCAAAAAATGTGGGAAACCAACAAAGGGGCATAAACGTGGAAAGTGTGACTGATTTTTGGTGAAACACTCCAGATCTCTCTCTTCTTTGCAAAAGAAAGTATTTGCTTTTATCAAAAGAGCCTTACCCTTTCGGTATTTGAAGTCCACTTGTGTTCTATCAAAACTTGTATAAAAAAAGTGGGCCTCAGTATGGAAAGGGTTAAGTTTAAAATTTACTGGTTAGAAATTAGCAAAAGTTAAATACAGTCAAACAAAAAAACTGACTGGAAATGTTTGAGAGCAACTGCTACTTATACTGATATTTGGAACAAACATGTAGTGAAACATGAGGGCAAAAGCCATATTCTGTAGCTTATTTTGTAGAGCTTTTGGACCCTCAGGTTCATAAGTTTTGGCACATTTGAAATGTTTGCATATTTTTACTGAAAATGAGTCAGATCTAAACAGTTACTCTCCAATATTTTAATGCTTAAAGTCTTATTCATTATCTGCATAACCAGTAGTAGCAGCTGTCTGGAATTTCGTCCTTATGTTATGGTATATGCAGGCTGGCAGTGGTCTTCTGTTGTCCCAACCAAGGTAACCACAGAACCAACGAATTAGCCATCTGTAGGCAACAGCTCTAAGATACCTGAAAAAATATGTTGATTCTTATTTATGCCAAAGACTGATCTATTTTATTTATGTTAAGCATTTAACATGGCTTACCTACAACAATAAGTAACTGACAATAAGTATTTTATGTTCATGATCAAATATTGGTTGCTGTTCTTATAACAAAAATTATTTAGTCTGGGGTTGGAATTGCTAATCCTGGGGTAGGGAAGGCTATGGTATGCCAAGTTTTAAAGTTCTGCACAAAAAGCAGATTCTCTTGAAAGTGAAATTATAAAAAACTACAGAATATATATACTGTATTTTCATTTTGCTATCATGAATAGCTTGTTTTGCCAATTGTGTAATTTTTAATATTAAGAATAGTTTTGGGTTATGGAAACATGCTTTAGTCTTGTTCATTTTCACCAACAAGTATCTTCTGGTTATAATCATGTTATCTGGTTTAATGGCTCCAGATTGAGAAATGATCAGCTGTTGTCAACATACCACCAATGGTGTGGATTGAAACAATTTTATCGCAAATTTTAGACTTCAAAAATAAAAATTCTAAAAGTATTTGCAACTATTCAACTATTAGCTTACTCGTTTCTGCCTTGTCCTGCTCTTCGCTTGTATGCTCGCCCTTGCGAGTCTTTCAATAAAGGCCCAACCATCATCAGGACCTCTGTATTGACCAATGCGTTGTAATCGCAGTGTTGGATGATACATGTTATTCCATCAATTGTGCCATCAAAAACTGCCTTGCCAATAGCACAGTGTACTTCCCTGCAGCATCTGTATTCTAACGCACCCACCAACAGTTCATCTTTACACTGTGAACACGAGCACCTTTAGAAAAGGAAAGAAGATTTAAATGGGTTAAGTAAAAACGTGATTTGAATTGGAAAAGATGCGAGTGAATAAATTACAGATGCGAGTTTTTTTCGAAGACGGCTCGGACTAAATGATTCATTCACACGTTGGGGCCTAAGTAGACCCTAGGCTTTCTTGCCCTAAACGAAGTTATTGAAGGCAGGCCTGTCGTCTAGGCCCTGCGAGTGACTGAATTTCTCAGGAAAGAATTTATCTAATACTTCATATGTAATTAAAGTCACCTACCAGTCATTCACAGCAACTCTCTTCTCGAATCTGGCCTCCAGTGTTTCACGAGGAATGCCATCCTTGTCTTCCTCAAAATTCACTCGCGCTTGCCCAGGCAGAGCCAGTGGTTCGTCTTGGTATGGAGCGTGAGCTTGTAAGTTCACAACTTCATAATCTCCGTCAGTTGAACTATCGATTAATGAAAATTGCTCTGAAATACTTTCGGTGCTGCTGTATTCGCTGTCCGACATCTTGCGTTAATTTGGTAAAACTAAAATGAATCCATCTTCGACAGGCATCTACTGACGTCTGACCGGAGTGCGCTTTGTTGTTACTTTGTTGTTGTTTGCTGTTTGCAATGTGTTCTACAATGCCTGCCAAAAGTCTTGGAACACTTGCTACAATTTACCTTGTGCACGAGCTGCAACATCCCCTCCCCCCTTGTACAATGTTGTGCCACGGAAATATGAATAATCCTACATGTACAAGTGATACATTTTTACATAGCTATGGTTTTCAGCTAGCAAATCAACATTGTATGCGGGGGAAGGGGGCAACACCCTCCTTGTTGACATGGAAATAGAAAGGAACACGCGAATTCACAGAAATCTCAGGGTGTTCCAAGGACTTTTGGCAGGCATTGTACTTTCTACGTCACACGTGATGTGCGAAATTCGCCATGACCTCATAACTTTGGCGGCCTTTTGTAAACAATTTAATGTGTTGCTGCTAATTATTTTTATATCATATTTCTCAGCAAAGATTGAAGTTTCTTTTAAGGCCAAAAAAGACAATCCGAAAATTTCGTTGCAGTAGCACTTTAAGGTAGTAACTTTTCTTGCTTTCTCTTATTTCATTCACAATACGGTTTCAGAATTGCTTTCAGAACAGAATTGGTTAATTTGAAGTGATGGAAAAGATTATCTCTAATTTTAATCATTTTCTGAATGTGCAGATTGATCCATGGTCTATTTCTAAGCTTCATAGCCTTTTTTGATAACTTTTTATTGAGGCAATGTTTGTCAATAAGATAGTGGATATTAAGCAGGAGGGTGTCAACTTTTTTATTCAAATCAATGGCATCATCCTCTAGAAAGGATTTTTCAATAGCTGTATAGTTTGCAAGAAAGTTGTTTTCATTAAAAATTCTATAATCATTAGCAAAAACGGATGAAGCTTTGAACTCAGGGATGTTGCCATACAGAACAGCAAACCGAGGAAGGTGGTTAGAGATTAAGGATAGTATATGCTACTTTCAGTAGAATTATTTATGTATACATTGTCAATGATAGTAGAGGAAGTGTCAGTAATACGCAATGGATGTAGAATGCATGGCTGGAAGTGATGGGATAACATCATATTGACAAACTCATCTGTAGCAGTGTGACTATCATAATTTAGTAGATCAACATTAAAATCACCCATAATAGCAAATTGCTTATTTTCCTCTGCTAAATTTTCAATTACCTAAGTCCAATCATTGAACTTAGTGATTTCAGAAGGAGAACATTGTCAGTTACCAAGGTGAATGGAAATAATGAAGCATTATTTAAAATTGAGCATTTTTGGCAAATCCATTGTTTGTCTTCAGATTCATCTACAAAGATTTTCTATTCCGAATCAGAAATGTTGTTACATTTAAAGTGGACATACACCAATTTTTTCTATTTTATTATTTGAAAGTTCTTAATGAATTTTACATTTTACATTGAATTTTACATTTTACACCACAAATTTTAAGGATCCGACTTATAGTTCCGATTTTATTGCAACTTTAAAGTGCGAAATCAGCACGTTTTTCGTTCAAATTGTGGTTAAGGGTCGCCTTTGCAAAGGTCTGGAGATGAACCTCAAGTGACGTAAAGTCAGGAACGATCTGCCACCACTCAATGGTTTCGGTCAGTGAGTATGTACATAAGTTAAGCTGTATTTAGTGGAAGAACTTTTTTCTCAGATTCCAATGCGGAACAGGTGTGTTGTAGCGTGTTGCAACAATGTCTCAGATTGTGACAAAGGCATTGCTTTACACAGAATCCCATTTTGTGGTGATCGCTATTCAGACAATGTGTAATTCTCATAGAACATTGGAATGGACACTTCCCACATTGAAACTTAGTTTGTTTTTGAACTTATCTCATTAAGGTCTTTCGAAAAATCATTTGTTTCTCTCATACCAACTTTTTCTCTCAGCTCTTTAGGTCTTGGATCCTATGTGATGATTCTAATGGTTGAAAACTTACCAAATTTATATACTTCTTTTTGAATGACTTGGGGATTTCTACCAACATTCCATGTGCAAGGTTTTGATGTGGATGGCATGACCAGAGAGTGACCATGAGTTTTTAATATTCACTTAGGCTCAGAAGTACAGCAGCTACATGTGCACACCTACCAAGTACTGATGCCTTGCAGTCACACCTTACAAACCAAACTGAACCATTTAGACAAGATAAAGCAAATTCAACATTCAAAGGCCTCCTGACCTTCATTTAATGGTCAAAATGAGCACGAACATAATAATTGTCACCATTAAGATTGTCTCTTACAAAGCAACTGTTTAAGAGTCTCAGCCCTTTTCTAAGTGGTCTTGCAGTTGATGCATAGCTGCTGTCTAAATCTTCAGCATCTTCTTCACTTTCGACAATAGTGAAGTCCGAGAATGATTAAACCAAGTGACACACCTTCACAAAGACAGGTTAAAAACAGCAACATCAGTGTATCTTAGACAAAATAACGCAATCCCCTTCATTAGAGCCCAAATTGTTTAAAGACAGACAAAGGGTTTGCATTAGCACTTGGTTGCTCAATGACCAGGTCAGAAAAAGGGTAGTTTCTATCGGAAATTATAATATTCTGATTTTCTATATAATACAGTCTACTGGTGATCAATTATTGCCTTAAATTTTCTTGAAGGTTTTATGGAATATTACAACTTGCGAAAAAAGTACAGATTCAATGCGAATGTCACAGGATCAAAAGAAGGTGTAAAAAATTTGTCTGCGAAAAGAATACGTAAGTAATTGGATGAATACAATGTGCAACATTGGCAAAATTCTCCCGGATGACAACAAAACAATATACTTGCCATGCTGTTTCTCTAGAAAGGAGCTGTATGCCACCTAGAGATCAGACAATAAAGAAGGACAAGTCCTTGGATATACAGCTTTTGGGAAAATGTGGTAAAAGGATGCATGTGAAAATTTAAAGGGTAAGAGTATATCAAACTTTTTTGTAAGCAGTATAACTTTTTGCCCCACCTCGATGTTCTTACAAAGATTCCATTTTGAGCCTGGATATATTCTAAAAAGATTCCATTTTGAGCCTGGATATATTCATAAAGCATTCACATATTTTTAAAACGTAGTTTTTTCGGAAACATATTTCCTTTGGAAGATCGAATAGAAAGCACACTTGTAAAAGAAAGAAATATACCAATATCAGTCATGCAATTCCCCGGTATGAACATCAAAAAACAGACAGCTGCAGCAGCCAAAATACTATAAAATGAGACACAAATACACAAATATGCTAGTTTTGGTCAAGCAACATTCTTTTCATATTCATAAAGATCGGTTGATTCTTTGCCTGAATATTCTTAGAAAATTCCTTATAAAACGGTGCATAACTCTGGTATGGTTTTGTGACTCACTTCTACTCTGTATACACCTGCGAGTTTACATACAGTTGACATTCTTCATAGTAAAAAAAATATATTGGGTAAATTTTTTAAAATTACTGTTTACTTGTCTGTCATTAAGTCCTTGATGCCATATAGCCAAATCTGTACTAAATTCTTGCGTTAACAGGACGATTATAAGTCGACTGTTTTTGGGTGAATATTGTACATATGCTTGGTGTCTTTTGTTGAGATATATATTCTAGATGTATATACTCTAGACAGTGTTACAAAATGTGGCATCTGCGAGCTTTTGAAGGATTTGACTACTGCTTTCACAAATCCAGACAAAGGAAAAAGACTTCTTAAGAAAAAAGCACATTGAGCAGCAACAGTAAGTTAGGCACTATAATATTAGTAATACCTATGACGTTACCAGCATATTTTATTAAGATCAGACAATATATTTTTGATGTCATTCTGGAAATCATACATTGAAAATCAAAATGATACATTTTCATATCTTTTATTGAAATTAATATTGATGATGTTTATATCTCCCTAGAGCAGAAATACACCCAAAGAAATATATCTCGATAGAACCCAAAGAAATATATCTTGATAATTTCTGACGCCATAGATCAATCCAAAACTAATATTCTGTATTGGCTTTCAAAATCAAAGGTACCTATCATTATTCTTTTTCAAAAAATTTACAATTCACAGTTGAATTGTTCATATTTAATGAAAAAAAATTGTAAAGTAATATGTTTAATAAGTCCTGCAAAATAATGTGTTTAGAATTTATATTTCCTTTCATTAATTTTTTCCAGTCTACCAAGGACGAATTTCTAAAAACCCATGTAACTGGTTCATCATATCATGGAACTGGAACTTGTTACAAATTTATTGACTTTATGCAATGGGCACACGATTCAAGTTTGGTAATGAATACGCTGTACAGAGTGTTGGTAGATATTACCACTGGCAGATAGCTATGGCGGATAAGATTTAATTTTTCTGGACACGTTATCCAAACGTGTATTTAAAAACTTTATCCAGAAAATTGTGTAAGTAATTTCGTCTACACTGTTGATATTTGCAACACTGACAAATATTTTTATGAACTGCTGTCTACAATAAGGAACAAAAAATGTTATTTTACGCTATTTCTGTACTTTTCTATGTTTGCCTCCTTAAGATATGATTATTTTCAACAAGAACAACGACTCCTACCGGTGTTGTACCTGCAACTGGACAACTGCTGGAGAGAAAATAAAAATCATCACATCTTCGCATTACTTGCCTGGCTGGTTCAAAAGGATGCCCTTAAGGTTCAAAAGGATGCTTTTGTTCGATTTTTCTATGGTATTTTTTCACTGACAAGCCTTTTTATAAAGTACCTCTAAGGGGACTATAATGAAAATAAGGTCAGCTAGACCTTTTAATGCTATCCCTGCCATTGAAATTAGGGGTGTCTATCTTTTTGTTTTTAATGCAAATTATTGTATTATATTTATTTTAACTTTCATTCCTTGTAAATACTGTAAGTGTGGCGAATTATATATACATACATAGCCTTTAATCTTTTTCGAATTAGTTGTGTTTTATCTTTTAAGGTCAAACTGTCTTTTTTAATTGTTGGACATACACACAAGGATATAGATCAGGTATGTTGGATGCTATCTACAATGAATCATACGTTGCTAGAAATAATTCTCTAACTAGAGGTATTATAGTTTACATAAATTTTTCCTAGATGTTCAATAGAAACGCAGTCCAACTGCACAAAGAAAATGCTGTCATGCCAGGGCCGCCGGAGCCAGGGGGGCCACGGGAGCACAGGCCCCCCTGTTTGCAAAAAGTATAAACAAGTGCCCCTTTTTGAAAGATATATTGCGTGTGTTTTTCCAATGCCAGATATTCTGCCTTTAGAAACTAAGTAAAATAACACAACTCTGGACGTTGTTGGAGGACCATTCATTGAAAATTCCTAAGATGTTTAATTGGTCTTGATGCAAAAAGTGCAAGCTCCTGTGATGAACAATATCAACTGCGAAGGAGACTGCCATTTCCGCGAGAAAATTTCCTTTGTAGGTTTTCAGCAACAAACGCATTAGTGAAAGGTCCGGTCAAGTCCCCGACGGGCACAGTCAGTTGGTCCAATGCATATCGTGTGCGTTCTTGAAAGTAGAAACTGGAGCCCTATCTCTGATTCTGGGATGCATAAAATGTACCCTATTCTGTGACTTTGCCAAAATTGTGTAACTCTTTTCACTGAGAATATTCAAGCTTGAGCAGGAATTTTTGATACCAATTCATGTTAGAACCATATATTCAAAACTTATGACTAGGCAAGTTGAAAAGCAGAGTTCACTAAATTTGATTTCAACAACGTTCCCTTGTGGTTCTTGACATATATATTAACATAATCAGACATCAGTAAAACTATAACTGCAACATATTGCTTGCTTCACAACATTGTGTTCAATGTTTATTATGAAGAAATGAAAAAGTTTTGTCCAAGCAATGAATACATGCTAACAAAGACTTAAACTTCTTATATAGGATTAGAACAATATACAAGACTAGACGTACTGCAAATTTTGTTCTACTTCAATATGCCATTGATTTATCTAAAAAGTTATCTGCAACATCATATCAGTAAATTCCTGCCCTTTTTGTGTTTCCTCTGACTGATTAAGAATGCATTTCCAGAATTCTAGCTTTTTTCGAGTTTTTCTGAACTCACATGTAATACGTTTTTCCAACAGACTGAGCACCCCGGGATCAAGTTTAAGGAGAGCTAAAACTTGTTTCGTTCATAAGACTGATGAGATAAACTTAATCAATGTTGCAGATTAAATTTGCTATGACAGTGAAGAATGTGCCCGCACCTTCAGCCGATTGTGTGAAGATGACTTAACCTTAAATTTTTTTAGCTTTTAAAAAAAATTCAATGGAGGCAAACAAATTTGTGTTGAAGTGGGGATTGTGCGAATACCAAGCAGGACGAAATTGTTTAAATATGAAAGTAAGAAAATTAATATCATTATTATGTCCAACCTGTGTCATAATTTTTATAATTGTCTAAATTACCGTGAAATGTGTACCATTTTTGGCACTTGTTAATGTTTCGGAAAGAAATATTTGTGCCCTTTTTATTTGTTTTGGCCCCCCTGTTCAAAACTGCGTCCGGTGGCCCTGCATGCTCCTGCAGTTGGAAGGTGTTTTTCGCAAGACATACACCCCTCGCCGAACAGTTACCACACTTGGGGTCCTATTTGATTTCAAAGGGTTCCTGTCGAAATACATCTCTATCATCCGCAACCACAGCAAACCCCACGCTTTCAAATTTGAGAAAACAGCTTCTGGACAGGTTGGCATTAGTTATAAGAACTGGGCAGCAAATGAGCAGTGGCAATAGAGAGCAGCCTTCGTTGATTCTCAATGAAGAAGTGCCCACAAAACGATTTCCTTTTACCATTGCAATACCAAATTCGATATGAAAAACGATTTGAAAACAATGAGAAAGGAAGTGACAACTGCCTCTGCCAGAATGACAGATTCACAGTATAGCCCCCTCTGGTATCCTACTTATTTCACCTAACTTAGACAAGAGATGATTAGTATCCTTAATGTAACACCTACCGAGGCTAAGCAGTGGATTGATGTGGTGACCTAGATATTCTGATATATTTTCTGTAACGGTGCCACAATTGGAAATGACTGGTCGACCCTTAACCCCACTTAATCACTTATGAATCTTACGTAACAAATAGAACCTACTCATTATTTTCCCCTCATAAATGTCCTTATTTTACGCTCCAGATGTATATATATATATCGAACAAAAGAAAGACGTAGGTGCTAGTAAAAAAATATGCGAGATGACTGCTAATTAGTTTCGACCATAGGCCATAATCCTGGCAAACTAAATGTTACAGAATATTGATTTACGTTATTTATTGATTACTTGATATGTGATGTTTGATTAATACAATGATTGATATTCTAAACCCATACCCTGGGAACCAGACAATCATATTGAAAATGAACGAATGATAAAACAGGGTATAAAAGGGTATTTATTTCTCAAAGTTTGGAAAAGGATGATTGATTATTTGGTTAAGGCCAAGTGGTGTTAGCGTTTCAAGTTTTTGTGTCTAGAAATCCTCTCTTTTTTCAAGGCGTGTTCTTAAAATTTCTTTTTCGAATGGCATTGTTCTTAATTGCTCAATTATGATGAGTTTTGCATCTCGCATGAAATCATGAGAATCATTATTAAAATGTTTGCATGCTGGTATAGCATTAGATTTTTTGGAGTCCTGACAGTGGTTATTCATTCTGAGATTTAGTGGGGTTTCGGACTTATCCACGTATTGTAATTTGCATCTTATGCATTACATCTGGTAGACAACGTGTTGGCTTTTACAATCAACATTGTGAAATATTTTGAAGGACTGTTTTGTCTGATTGCTACGAAAATGAAACAATTGTATGATTTGTTTACAGCATAAGTTTCCAGATTAAGTGTTGCAGGGTTTCCAAATTCCCAAATGTTGACTTTTATTTGTCTTAATCAGTTGGTTGTTTTCGATCCTGTTGCTTCCTAAAATGTCTTTACGGCTTCTATTTCTTCTGTAAGCAATCACAGGTGGGTCTTAAAAAGTTTCCTTTGTATTGGGGTTTAACTTAAGAATGTTCCAATGGTTATTTAATTGCGCGGTGGTAAGGTTCAGTTGAATGTTGTGATGTGGTACACGGTGTTGCTTGTTACGCTGACTCGGTTGACGAGTTTTTTCGCATGGGATGTTATTTGCTCTAGTTATCTGTTGTTTTATTTTTCCAATATTGTATCCTCTGGTTACGAATTTTTCATATATGTTGTCAGAATTGAGTTTAAAGTCAACATCTTTCAAGCAAATCCTTCTCATTCTTAGGGCCTGGCTATAGGCTAAGTTATTGTTAAGGTGTTCAGGATGTTCGGGGGATTTATGTAGGTAGTTCTGTCTATCAATTGGTTTTTTGTACCGGGTGGTTTGTAGAAGGTTATTGCTATCAATGTATACTGTTGTAACGAGAAAATTGATGGATTTTGAAGAGATTTCGTAATCGAATTTGATGGAGGGATGGGTTTGGTTGAGAGTGGTAATGAAATGTTCGAACTGGGGTTGTGTACCAGTCCAAATCATGAAGATGACATCGATGTATCTTAAGTATAGCTTTGTGAAGTTACTTATTTGTGGAAATATAAAGAGTTCTTAAAATTTACCAATAAATATGTTAGCATAGGAAGGTGCGCATACTGTGCCCATTGCACAACCTTCGATCTGTAGAAAATTTTTTGCTATTGAAAGAGAAGTTATTACTTGTCAGGATGAGGGCTAGGATTTTGGTAATCACTTCAGGATCTGTCTGTAGGTTATGTTTGTTTATGGGCTCTTGTAAGGTTTGTCTAACTGCTAGTACCCCTTCGTTAGTTGGAATATTGATGTACAGTGATCCAACATCCATAGATATTAAAAATATATTATTTGGGACTTCTTTTATGATGTTGAGTTTGATGATAAAGTCATCAGTGTCTTCGACGTAGGAAGTTAATCGTCCAGCCATTGGTTGTAAATGATAGTCAGTATACGAGGAAATCTTGCTAGAATGACAATCTATAGAACTGATCACTGGTCTTCCTG